ACACACATTCATACAGCACTCTACTACACACACATTCATACAGCACTCTACTAAACACACATTCATACAGCACTCTACTACACGCACATTCATACAGCACTCTACTACACACACATTCATACAGCACTCTACTACATCTGTACAAAGATAATCTGAATCTATAGAGATTAATCAGAGCTTTATCACATTCATACACTGATGGGACACACATGAGAGGCAATTAGGGGTTCAGTGTCTTGCCCATAGACACTTCAACATGTGACTGGTGGTGGAATCAAACCCCCAACTCTCTCATTTGTGGACGAATGATCTAACCACTCAGACACAAACTGTGTCCAGCCTGGCTGTTTCCATACAATTTAAGAAGGTTGGTGGCAACTAGGAGCTTCTGATCAAATGTATTGATTACCTGATCATCAGTCTGAGGAACTATTTTATCAGTTTGCTGCTCTGGAGCACGCAGGTGTGTGTTAACATATCGCCAAGGCAGCAAGACATCAGCAGAGATCTTAGAGAAGCAACTGTTGCTGCCTGTCAATCCATGAAGGGTCAAAGGTCATTTCAAATCGTTTTAGAACCCATCATTTTCAGAAGGATTATTTTAAGATTATTTGTTAAACTGATGACAACTTCCCTAGGAGTGGACATTAGGTCATATCTGGTGGACAGAATAATGTGTATCAATATAGCTGGTTCTAAATCCTCCACTGCTCCTGTTACTTGGGGTTCCACAGGGCACTAGTTTAGGGGCCCTTTTTTTCCCCTTTATACCTGCATCTCTTGAGTTCAGTACTGAGGAAGTATGTAATCCTCTTTCTTTGCCATGCTGTCGACAGTCAGATAAATGTCATTAAAAAGAAAGATGCCCTCTCAATTAGGCCACTTCTTTTGGAGTCTGAATACATCAAACCCTGGGTGTCCTGAAACGTTTTCAGCTTTGCCAAAGATAAATAGAAGCAATTATGTTTGGTCCTATTGTCTACTGTGAACCTTTCCCAGTTGATCTGGACCCACTGGTGCTGCATGTACCATACCATACTATACCATACCATTTTATTTATAGAGCACTTAAAACAGCGACAAGGCCAACCAAAGTTCTGTACAGACAGAACAACAGGCAACACACAAAGCAACATACAAAATGAAGTAAATCAGAATATAGACATAAAAATGTTGCAGATAATGTAAAGCAAGAAGTTTCTGTTATGGGTATTAAATTGGACAGCAATTTATTTTTGTTGTTTTAGATTCCTACATTTGGGCAGAAATCAAGTCCAGTTTTTTATTTGCCTCTGCCACTGATGGATGATTGCCAGTTGTTACTTTGTGTGACCTTCAGGTCGAGGGCTTGATGGATGACATCGACTTCAAAGCAAAGGTGACCAGGACTGAATTTGAAGATCTGTGTGCTGATCTGTTTGAAAGAGTCCCTCATCCGGTGCACGAGGCCCTTACAGCGGCAGAGATGAAGCTGGTCAGTATTTGTAAAACACCACTGCACAGCTTGTTGTCCACTGCTCCCTCTGATCTTAAGAAGGACATTTATTTAGCAGAGATTAGTCCTTGTGGACCAACACGTATGTGCAGCTGTCCTGGATGAACCAGCCCATTTTAATTTAGTCTTGATTCTTTGAGTGGAACTCATGTTAAGATGTTGAGTGTTTAGAGTCTGGCTTGTTTGTGTTAAACCACATTTTCACGGTGATTGGACAGACTGAGCAGTACAAGGATGGTCCACTTGTTACTGCTCAGCCTGCGTGTGACATCAACTGAAAACAGACAACGAGAAAGGACTTTGTGTTTACTGAAAGGATCAAGTTGGTCCTGATGTAAGGAGGCACCTCCTCCAGCTGCCAGCCAGTCATCTTGATCTCTGCATCTCCGCGATGTACTGAACACCCCCCTCACATCATACACCAGCTGCTTCTCCGTGTCCTGCAGTAATGTCTAAATGTCCAGTAGAAGACAGGAACTCAACGCTGATCAGCTGCCAGACCTCAACACAAAGAAACAGATATGCTGCTTACTGTCACTGAACCTGTTGAATGTCCAGATCAACGTTTATTTCTATAACGTAGTGAAATGCAGCTCCTTTGACAAAGTGCTGGACCAACTTTAAAATATGACATGAATATTTAGTGAATTAGAAATGATTGTAAACAACATTAAAGACGATAAGACACGAGGACGCAGTGAAACAAAGTGGTAATAATTGTGAATGAACTCGTCCTGTTTGTGTCGACAGGAAGAAATCGAGCAGGTTATTTTAGTTGGAGGCGCGACTCGTGTCCCGAAGGTCCAGGAAGCGCTGCTGAAAGCTGCCAACAAGTAAGTAAACACAATGTTTCACTTGTCACTTTGTTTTATTGGAAAAAAAAAGATTCCCATGTTTTAACTCTAGACACAAAGAAAAACTGCAGTTTGTCTGAGGGAGTTTTTCCTTTCCACTGTCTCCTTCATGCTTGTTCAAGATGAGAGTTCTGCTCCTCAGATGAATAATGTCCAGTTATTATTTTATAGATGAATCAGTTCAGTTCAGTGTCTGAGACGACTTCTGTTGTGACTTGGTTCTATAGAAATCAACTGAATTGTTTGTTTGTTTGTTTGTGCACAGAGAGGAGCTGGGAAAAAACATCAACGCAGACGAGGCGGCAGCGATGGGTGCTGTGTACCAGGCTGCTGCGCTCAGCAAGGCCTTCAAGGTCAAACCCTTCCTGGTTCGAGATGCGACCGTGTTCCCCATCCAGGTCAGCGCTGCTCCTTGCTCATCACATGAAAATAAACATCTACATGTTCGTTTTCCTTCTTCTTTCGGCTGCTCCTTCTTCAGGGGTCACCACAGTGAACTAACTCATACGAAGACTTGATCCTCGTTTTTACACCAGATGTTCTTCCTGACACACCCACAGACCACCGAGCTACCATCTAGCAGATGTGGAGGGTTATGTGCCTTGCTCAAGGGCCCAGGGTGGGGTAGATGAGGGTGGAGGCAGGTGTGGGTGCTTCACTGTCGAACCTCTTGTTCTGATCTTTACTGTGGAGCTGCTCTTATGAACCAAAGTTCTTTAGTGTCAACTAAAAAGATAGTAATGTTGTTTTGTTCCATTGTGTGTAACGGTCAACTTTACTCCAAAGTCCATACTCAATAATCCAGGTACAAATCCAACATTCAGTCAGGTCACCTGGACAGGTTCTTTCTTTTTTCCAAGACGTTTCGTCCTTTATCCCAAGGACTATTTCAGTCCGAAAAACCAGTTTGCTGTTTTGACAAGATGGATTCTGCTCCCCCGTCCCCCGTTAACTCCTCTAGGTGAAGGACGAAACATCTCGGCAACAAAAAAGAAACCATCCAGATGACCTGACTGAATGTTGCATTTGTACCTGGATTATTGAGCATGAACTTTGGTGTTTTGAACCACTTTAACATGGCTGCCCCAGAGCAGTTGGGGGAGAGGGCGGGCCACAGAGGCCATCTTATCACCAACAAACTGGATTTTTTTTCTACAATGGGAGTGTGGTATTTGTGGGACTCGAGTTTGTTTGTGACTCCTCAGACTGAAGAAGTCCTTTGGATGAAGGATGAAACGTCTGAGCTAAAAAAAAACAACTTTACATTTTGAAACTAAATGAAACGACGTGTCCGTGAAGGCAGCTGGTGAAACAAGCAGCTGGTGTTGAATTGTTTCCTGTTGATCTGGTCCTCCAACATGGCGGCTGCAGTCATTTACAGCCACCAGATAAACACCTGTAGTCTTTTAGTGTTTGTACCGAAAAACTATTAATTGAAACAGCAGAACAGATCTGTTGTGTATTTAATGTCAACCTGATGGAACTCGGGTGGAACAAAAGGTTCTCGCTCCAGGCCCAGAGTCTGAAGGTTCCCTCAGTGGAAGCTGTAGCAGAAGACAACCGGTCGAACGTCAGAGTTCAGGCAGCAGCTGCTGCTCAGCCAAAACCATTAGAGTGAACAAACCAGCATCTTCTGTCGGCTACCTTCCAGTCCTTCGTTACTTCAGACTGTTTTCATGACTTTGACGCAGCTTGTGACTCGTTCTCGGCTGCAGACTGTTGGTTTGAATCTGGAGCTCAGGAATCAAAAGTCGACTTCACGTCATCCCTAGTTTACTGAATGACGCTAAAACTGATCTAACTTGCTGTCTAATCCTTTTTATTCACCGCACTACTGGAAATTCATTCGTTTCTTTAGTTTTTAACAAATAGTTACAGGTTGCGGTTGAATTACCACTGAAGTAGCATTTTCTTTCTATTTTGCCGTTTACTTTCTATAACGGTCTTTGATTTTCTGTTCCTCTTGCATCATCAGAAAAATTCATAGAATATGTATCAAGGTTGAACAGAATGTTCAACTTTATTACTAAACGTGACCCCTGACCTGCCGCGGGGGCTACGTTCCAGAGTCCCCCACAATGCGTGACAATCCATGAAGTAACGGCATTAGATTTATTGTATCTTATATTTTAAGACTTTATAAACCCTTCCCACACTCCTGCAAACCTTTGCCACTCTCAGGTTCACCCTTCTCGTGCAGCGCAGCACTGAAAACTTTAGGCCACACCCCCCTGCTGTGGGCCCCACCCTGGTCTGTATAAATTGCGCTGAGACTGGGAATAGACTCCCAAATAGTGTTTTTCTTCAGCCGTTTATTAGTAGTGATGGGAACAGCAGTTCTTTTGAGTGTACTCCCTAGAATCAGTTCATTAAAATGATTCATTCACTGAATCGTTCAGATCATGCAGTTTATTCATGCAGTCTACGAGTGACACGGCACCATTTCCAAAAAGTACAGGTTACACACTCAACCACTGAACTGAGACAGGAACGAATCAGTTAATAAATTGATTCAGTTCAGTTGGTTCACTCAAAAGATTTGTTCATTTGAACGAATCGTTTGTGAACGACACATCTTAAAGGGCTACACCGATACTCAGAACCTGGGAATACAGTATGTAATTAACGTTATATTTTGTATAGGCTCCGCCCTTTAAGGCTGTCAATAGTGGGTTAAAGGTGAAGCAGGATAGGTCCGTTCAGAACCACAAACACACAGATGTCTGCTTGCGCTCTTTGAAACGATCCTCATTGAGCCTTCAAATCACTCGTAATTACGCATCACTGAATCTGTGAGCCTGAGACTCGCTGAGCAGCAGAGAGAATAATCCCTGCGTCACACTGAAATGTCAAACCCTGCCGCTGTGAGAACAGGCAGCTCAGTGAAACATCTGCATCAACGCTCTGACTAAACTCTGGGGACAGAGTGAGTCAGGGAGAAGCTGGAGACGTCATGCAGATAAAAATGAATGAATGAGCACGGAGAGTCCCAGGAAGCTGCTGTGCAGATGTCCTGCACTGACCGAGCAGAGCCGTGGAGGATGAGATTCCTCTGGTGGAGTGAGCTCCGAGTCCCTCTGGAGGCTGAGATCCAGAGGAAATATATCCTGTAAAACAGCCCGAGTGACAGCCGCTGAGCAGAGGGCGAACAGGTCGACGGACTCGGTGAATGTGAACTGCACCAGCTGAAAATGTAAACGCGCGTTCTGAATATTGGTCCCCAATCAAACCGAGTACCAGACTATCAGGTGTGAAAACGACCTGAGCCTGCTCTCTGACGTGCACAAAAGCATGCTGAGTGGCATGATGCGGCCGTGCACGTGACATAGCAGGAGAGTACATGCACAGAGGAGAGGAGGGGGCTTCCACCTCCACTTGTGCAAGAAGTAGAGGCGTACATTATGTACCACAAAGTCCTGTGATACAGAATTAGATTTATTAAAAAATAAATAAATGAACAGCGGTACAGCCAGGGACGACCGTATTAGATGACTTTATTGTTTTAATTTCATTAATTTTTTTGTATTAGGTGACTTTTTATTGTTTTTGTTTGTTTGTTTGTTTTTATTGTATTGGATAACTTTTTTATTGTACAAAGGGTCAAATGAAAAGGGGTGGATTTGCAATCTGGTACCAAAGTGAGAAGTCGAGCCCCGCCCTCTGTTTGAATCTTTCAGGTGGAGTTTTCGCGGGAGGTGGAGGAGGATGGTGTGAAAACGGTGAAACACAACAAACGCATCTTGTTCCAGAGGATGGCGCCGTACCCCCAGCGTAAAGTCATCACCTTCAACCGCTACAACACTGACTTCACGTTCAACATCAACTACGGAGACCTCCAGTTCCTGAGTCAGACCGGCCTCAGGTGGGCTTCAACATGTTCTGCTCTAGAACTTCAGGAAAGAACTCGATTCACTTCTTTTAATTGACTTAAATAGGATAAATTGCATAAATGAGGAAAATGAATCTTTTTATTAATAATAATAATAATAATAAAAAGTAGGGGTGCACCGATAAATCGGCCCCGATTTTCTTAATTTTGGGAAATCAGCCGATACTTGCATGAGAAACTGATTTTACAGATTTTTTTTGTTTGTTTTAACAACAATTATCTAAACTTTATTTATATTTCAGAGCACGACCTCATGGCCAGTTAAAACCAGTTTGTATTGTTTCTAGGATATTGTTCAAGGCTGTGTTGTTCAATAAAATAAGACTGGAAAATTTAAGGTACATTGTGACGTTATAACACCTGACGGTGTCGCTTATAAAACTGAATCGTATCGGCAGGTCAGACTTTTTAGAAATCGATGATCTGAGATCGGCCATAAAACTGATTGGTGCACCCCTAATAATAATATGAACTTGTTGGATTAAATTTGACATGAAGTCAAATGTGCTTCCAATTGTTGTGACTGATCTTGTGTCTCGGTTGTGTTGCTAGGCCTGTGGCAATAAACAATAAATCAATTAATCGCACGATAAATTAAAATTATCAACCTCGTTTTCATTTTTCAGCTTTATCGTTTCTTCGTGTCTCTCTCTTTCTACTGAAGACACTGGACGACAAAAGGCTCAACTCCGGTGCTCTTCACTGACCCGTCCCTTTCTCTTTTCTCTTTAAAATCTGTTTTAACATCCAAATCGTGTTTTTGGATCGTTAAAAGAAGCTAAGCTACGAGCTAAGCTAACAGGCCGACCTCGGGAATAAACCTCCGTCTCGTCGAAGCTCCAAAATTCACGGTTGAAACCCGTGGCTTCGTGTAAAAAGTTGTTTTTCTTTGCAAAAAGAAGCTGAGAACTTGTTTACTGATTTAAATTTTTTTTATTAAAAGCTTTGTGTGAAAAATGTCGTGCTAAAGAACTCAAACTACACAGAGTATCCGCCATGTCACCATGTCAGCTCATGTCACAAGGGCCCGGTCGTTCCCCAGTCTGTTATGGAAGCACGATGCGTAGTGAACTTCCAGGTCGCACGGATCACCATTGTTTATGAATAAAAACCGTCTTAATTTACTTAGAAAAGTACGTGCTCTATCTCTGCCGATCTTCACGTAACTAATTCACGCCACTCATATTTCCGTTACAAATCATTGGTTGAGGTGATATGCGATGCATTAGAGCTGACCCCCAGCCTGGGCTGAAGGAGGAAAACCCTGCAAGATGCAGAAGGAATTATTTCTGTGGTGGAACAGCGCCGCTCAGTGCTGGAGCTGCAGATCTTCTTAACCAACGGCGTAAATATGTCAATGATTTTACCAGAAATACGAGTGGTGTGAATTAGCAACATGAAAATCTGCAGAGACAGAGCACGTACTTTTCTATGTAAATTAAGACAGTTCTTATTCATAAATGGAATTATACCATTACATTTTCCTTAATCTAGCATATTCAACAGCGATCTGTGTGACCCAGAAGTATTCCTTTTAGCGCAGATAGTTCTAGAACTGCGCCGCTCCAGGTGGCTGCATGTTGGAGCAGCTCTGCTACTTTCATTCTGATGATTGTTTCCTCTGGTATCAGATGCTGTGCAGCTGGAAGGATTTTTACTGAAACTTTTAGTTTTGGACATTTGTTATGATGCGTAACCATGGCAACAAGGCAGTTTTCTACAACCAACAGCTGATTAACATCTCAAAAGCTCAAATAATATCTCAACTACAGCCCCAAATCTCAAATGAGTTGAAAAGGATGTTCTGTGGATGCATTCTCATCTACCTGCCAGCTGTGCTCGAGTGCCTGACCACCGAGATCCTGGAACTAGCAGGAAACACGACTCATGACAGCAGAAGGACAGGATCGTCCCTCAGCACCTACAGTTGGCTGTCCGCAGTGACGAGGAGCTCGGCAGACTGCTGGGAGGAGTGGCCATCGCTCTGGGAGGAGTTCTGCCCTGCATTCAGGCGGTCCTACAGTCCAGGGGAACCGAGAGGCCAGCCGAGTCTGGGTGGACGGATCGGACGGCATCTGCATCCAGTTTCTTAGGATCCACTGTGGGATGGACCTTTACAAGAGATCCTTCCTGTCTACAGCATCAGTATCTATAACATCTCTTAATGAAATGAGGATAACGAGTTACAACAACAAATAATTCCCTTTGGGATTAATAAAGTATTTTTGAATTGAACTGAATTGAATGCACAAATGGCTACACTATATATTGGGTTCCATAACAGATCGGGGAATGACCGGCCACCATCCCATTCTTCTTAAAGAGACACACTGCTCAGCTCTCCATCCTTTATGTCTTTATTCTGATTTACTTCATTTTGTATTTTGCTTTGTGTGTTACCTGTTGTTCTGTCTGTACAGCACTTTGGTTGGCCTTGTAGCTGTTTTAAGTGCTCTATAAATAAAATGGTATCCTTTGGTTCAAACAGTCTTATACTGCTGACAGGTGGTCAAAAAAGGTACTACATGCCAAACAAATCAACATTTCTTCTGAAATTTGACAATAAATTATTGTCAAATTTCGAACAATATTATCATTTATCACAATAATTTCCGAGACGATTAATCACCCAGCTTAATTTGTCATGGTGACGGGACTATATGTTGCAGTTGTTGTGGTTGACGTTGTCTCTGCTGTGTTGCAGTGTGTTTGGCTCTCCTAACCTGACCACGGTGAAGCTGTCTGGAGTGGCTGCTGGCTTCCAGAAACATGCAGATGCGGAGTCCAAGGGAATCAAAGCTCATTTCAACATGGATGAAAGTGGCATCCTCCTCCTGGATCGTGTGAGTTACATTTCACTCAATTCAGATATTTCAGTGACACTTTTTATAATTCATATCTTGCATTGTAGAAAACAAATGAACAAAAGTTTAATTCACTAAAACAGCATTTAAAATACTACTGTCAGTTCCTGTGGTTATATATAAAACACCACCCTTATTGTTTTACTAGATTTTAATATTGCTTCCTCAAATGATTGGATTGGCTGAAGGTTAATCTGTAGGGGGTCAAGGTCATCAATGGCCACTTCCTGGTTCCACCATTGTGCCTGCTGGTTCATGAAGTTGTTCCCTCGACTCTCCAGGATCCGTCACTTTGCACCGCCTCAGACAAGCTAATAAATATGAAGAAAAGTCTAAGTGTTCCTGTACTGTTTGTTGTTTTCAGAGGTTGGGGCAGAACAGCTTGTAACAATTCTCACCAACATCGAGATTAGTTTGTTTTTATTCTTGTATTATAAGGAGAGATGCTCCCAGCAGGTCTTTTGTGCTGCTGATCACTGATACGATCACATGGACTGGCTGTAAATGTTTTGTTTTAGTTGAGATGAATGCTTCATGCTACGTGATCTGGAACATAGGAATCATAAAATCACCGTAATTTGGACAAAACATGTTTTTATTTACTATTTCAAGACAAAAAATATAAATAAACAAAAAACTTGCAGGCACAGTACAGCAACTATTTAGTTAGAAGGACAACTGAAAATATTTAAGTTTACCTGCTGTCAGTGACAGAATGTTCACGCACAGTGTTGCACACTCACACAGTGACTGCTGGACATGGGCACCAGTGACCCCCGCCACCCAAGAAGGAAGAAACGGGTAGAAGATTATGGATGGATGGATGGATGGATGGATGGATGGATGGATGGATGGATGCATGGATGGATGGATGCATGGATGGATGGATGGATGGATGGTCCTCACTTTGTCACAAATACTCAGAACTCAGCAACAGTTCAACTGAAGCATGTATTTTCTTACAATATCCAGTCGTTTGAGTTTCCAGCTGGTTGACGTCGCAGTGAGACGCGCCCTCGCTGTGAGACGCGCCCTCGCTGCGAGACGCGCCCTCGCTGCGAGACGCGCCC